TCCTATGGCGACTTCAATTGAAAATAGTGAAACTACAATACTGATAACTCTGAGGGAAAATAAGTATAATAAAGAATCACCTACTTCGATCGGGTTAACTTCAGAAAAAAATAGAGAAAAAATTAAATACAAATTACGCTACTATGAGTACCTGATTTTTGTATAGGGATTAAATATAATACATAAAAGTTGTTGAGTTTCAATTATGAATAATTCTTACCCTTATTAACGATGCTTAGTATATAACTCTTTTTATTTCGATAGGCAACTTTAATTGCATGTATTTTTTTTACATATGAATTCAAGAAATCATTTATGTTGAATTTAAATTAGGATTTTTTGAATAGGCAAGCTCCTGGAACTCTAAATAAAGCGTTCAAGAACTTTCATGAATATCCTCCGTAAAATGTTCTAATGCGTAAAAAATTTAAATAATATAATTTCTAGGTAAATAATTTAAGATTCATTTGAAAATTGTTACTTAAAGTTAAAGTCTTTCGTACGTATTATTTTGTGCATCACTTAATTAGTACACTATGTCTGTCATTTTGCCACCATAAGATGGATATTTAGTGTACTTGTTAATTAAAATATTATTCAATAAGTCTCCCACGAAATTTACGCGTGGAAACCTATGTTTATGAGCAGACAAAGTTTTTCGAACATATTTACGATGTTTGAAGATAATCAACTGATTGACTTAGAAGTAAGAATACAATACAGCAGCTGTAATGTCACAATGAGATGAAATCAACTAAGAATTTAAAACAAAGAATAGGCCCACAAGAATTCTTTTGTGGCCTATTTTCAAATAGGCCACAAAAAAATAAAAAAAATTTTCAAATAAAGATTTTTTTTCAAAATCTTTTTAGAAAACGTAACGATAAAGAGAATAAATTATAGAAAACGACGAGATAAATAAACGAGAATAATAATAGAAAACGTATCTATAAAGATATGAAATTTTGTGCACTATTCTTTGCTTTTAAATTCTTAGTTAATTTGCGATTAAAGCAAAAAAGTGACATAAATTCTTAAGATTAAATCAGAAATTGAAACACTGCAAATAATTTATCTACTCTTGTCATGAAAAATTATAAAAAAATTATTTCTCTATGATATTTACTGCTATCATGAATCTACACACTCGGAGAAATGATATATAATTAAATGTCCAAATAATTAAATTATAAATTGTCCAAATAGTGATGCATTTTTTGTCCTTGGTTGGATCATCATGACTCAGTTTGCCCGGAAAAAGAGCTAGGGTTTTGCGAAGCTGCTTTCAGGAAGTGTGACACCATTTGGGCTTTAAGACCCATTATTTTTCCTAGTGTACAGTCAGCAAAAAGCTACACAGTATATTCGACTGGTGTAACTGAAATTACTGTCATGAAGTTGATATTTACTGTAGATAGAAATAAGAAAAATATTAAAAATTGTAGTATAAACAACACGCCAAAATAACAGCAATGCGCTTGTATGATGAAATTGTATCAGGGTACGTTATTGCTCTGTCGAGTGCATGGCTGTATACAATGTATGCAATGCATACATTGTATACAATATACAATTCTTCTCTTAGCAAAGCCTTTCATTATCTTTCTGCGCGGATTTTCGTCGCATCCGAGAGGTCCATCATCTACGAATTATCGTAAACAATAATACAATTATTGTAATATTTTGTTAATGGGTATGCATGATGTGCACCATGTGCACGATAAGCGCGATATGAACGATATGCATGGCATTCATGTTATGCATTTTATGCACGATATGAACAATGTGAACGATACACAAGTAAAAACTGAATTAAACATTTCTTTGAAAGAGATAAAATAAGTCATATAAAAAATGTATCTAATTATTAATGAAATATTTCTTTCAATAATGTGTTATAATTAGCATATGTTTGATATATAGTGAATACATCCCAAATTAACATATAACTATCCGAAATGATCTGTAAATCTATAACACAGCATGTACATATTTTTTGTAATTCAAGTACAAAATAAAATAATATAATATAATATAATATAATAATAAATTTCCCCAACTGTAGGCTTTATTATGACGGAAGTGTATAAATTTTTTTTTTTCAAATTTGGGATCAATATTATAACAAAAGAGTGTAAATAGATATTCCCAATTTCGGGATCCAAATTACAAGGATAGATTATAATTAGATTTTCCCTATTGTATTCTCTATATAATTCTAGCTTCACGCATGCATCAAACTTAGCTAGAAGTGTTTTCTAGCTTACAAATATATTTTATTTTGCATGAGTAATCGTACAGAGTATTTTCATCCATGCTATCACAACTTAATTTCATTCAATAAATGATTATGTGTGCCCTACTGCAGAGATTATTGGATTATTAGTCCATATATTGTTAAAAACTGCATTTCAAATGACCATTCCTAAAATTATTGCTATGTTGATTTCTCTCCAAGCAATTGTAAAAAATTTTTCCGATATAATTCATAATTAAAATAATTTTGACAAAAATCTGAATAAAATCTAATCATGAATGATTTATCATCAAAATTTAAACAAAAATGTAAATAAGAATCGGTCATACAATTCCTTTATACATACATCTACTATCAGCAAACAATATTTCAGTTATTCCAATAACTAACTTGTAACTGACATTATTTCACTTCCTACTAAAGATTCGGCCAAATCCTTACCAAGCAAGCTATCAATCACCCGCTACGCTCATAAAAATGAAGAAAATTTGTCCAAATACCACTGAACTTCTTACCCGTTTGTGGGCCATCCTGACCCTATTTGTCCAATTTTGTGCAGAAAGTGTGTCACGCCTTGAATAACATGACTCACTAATTTTTCTTAGTGCAGATGCCTTCAATCTGTCGGTGATGATATGATGATGTCGGCAGCCTTGCTGCACGACGACTGATAAGATAAAGTGCACAGCCTGACGTCCTCGCATCCATGAATCGTGTCTGTAACATTCATGAATCGTGTCAAGTCCGTCATTCAGTCGCTGTTCTTCACTCGGATAATACGAATGGATTGTTTAAATCAATTTTGTTGATAGTTTTGTTCATGTGTGACAATCGAATTTATTTTACATAGTTTCCGTTTGCCGAAAGCTTATTGTTAAGTACGATGTGAGCGTTAGCATCCGAACCATAGGCACTAATTTTGATGTCAGTTTGTTTGCACCAAAATATTTATGTTATGAAAGGTGAATAATTATTGTGAAGAGGTTATTCTTGACTATATAAGTGATAATGTACAAATTAAAATTGAATTGTGCTACAATGCAAGATTGAATTTTCAGATGATTAAGCTATTTGGTTTTACAGTCTTTATATACAATTATTCAGAGAGTTTTATTCCATTAGCGAAAAAGTATTTCTTACCTAACATTTAACTCTTCTCTCCGTTCATTACAGAGGAGTTTGGTAAGCTAGCCTACTTATTGCATGTTTAAATGAGTTTCACTGACATTGGTTTAAGCAGACATAAATAATTAAATGATTTGAAATGATTTTTTGTGAAATTATGAACATGATTTTTTATGAAATTATGAAAATGATTTTTTATGAATTTTTGTAAATCATTTTTTTATGAAATTATGAATACGCTAATTTTTGTGAAATTTGGGCATTAGTGCCGTTGGTGCGATCACAAAATAACGACTTATTCTCATTATAAAGAATGGGTCGGTGAACCAAAAATTTTGCATTCTTTATCTACCGAGAAATAAAATTTTAAACTTCAGGCTGATGTGACATTTTTTAATTTTTTGTTCAGATTCAAAGAGACAAAAAAGTTTATTGTGATTCCCCTACCAGTATAACTTGATCAAAAATGATTGTTACAAATTTGTATTAGGTTCTTTAATTATTATTTTGATGTGAAACGCATAAGTAACATAATAATCCAACAAACAACGACTTCAAATAGATATGCAACGTAGCTTTTTAAAACCATACTATTTTCAATAATCCCCGATATAAAAAAAAAAACTGATCGAAATGCATATTGGAAAGCAATTAACATTAAGTAATTATAAAAGTACAAAAAATTACCATTGAAGTTATAAATTAAGAAGAACAATATAGTTAAAAATTTGAATCATAAATGACAAATTTGTAAATCCCTGATGAGAGTGCAATAAATGCTTCAAGTGAATGTGATAAAATATTTTATGAACTGGAGCTTTCCGGAACCGCATTGCAAATATCCCGAAAAATTATCAGAATTTGATGTTCAAATATCGCCAGATAACAATATCAAAATAAATATTAATAAGAAGAGACTGCAGAAGAGAAATTATTTATGAAATATGAAACGGAAATTCATTTTGGAATAGAATAAAACTGAAACTATAAAATAAAACTGAAACTAACTCTGTCCTAATGAATGAAAATTAATGTAAATAATTCCCTGTGAATGTGGAATGGGAAACAAAAATCACTTAGTAAATCACGAAAAATCGCATCGTAATTAAAGTGGGAATGAATGACACATTCATTGATGAACCCTGTGTCGAAAATTCAAATAAAGCGGAGACTGAATCCAATAATCCCAAATATAATTTCAACTAAGAAGATATATTGCACGATTACCAAAAGCTGAAAAGATACATTTTGCAGAGGACCAATTTGAAATGAATGTATCAAACAATAACTTGAATGAAGATGAAAATCTTCGTTCTCCTCTAAATGCAGCCATAAATTCAACTGCAGCACAAAATGATGATACAGCGATGGAACACACTTACTTAAATGACGAGGAGAATAAAGCTACCGCCTCTGATAAAGCCTTAATAAACATCAATTGTTCCAATGAGGCAGCAAAAGAAACAACAGTAATTTACGAAGATACCAAGGAACACATATCTTTGAATGAGTCACAACAAAAAACTACAGTCGTTGATGAAACTACCACCGAAAATCTTCCTTTAAATGAGCCAGTAAACAAAACTACAGTCGTTGATGAAACTACCAATAAAGCTACCGCCTCTGATAAAGCCTTAATAAACATCAATTGTTCCAATGAGGCAGCACAAGAAACTTCAGTAATTGATGAAGCCACGAGAGAACACGTTTCCTTAAATGGAGCAGCGATCGACACGTCAGTAAATGATGAAGATACCAAGGAACACATGTCTTTGAATGAGTCACGACAAAAGACTCCAGTCGTTGATGTAACAGCAGAAAAAAAACTTTCTATAAATGAGCCAGTGCACCTAACTATAGTTATTGATGAAGCCACAGAAAAATACTCTTCTTTAAACGAGGTAGAAAAAAACGCTGCAATCATTGATGAATGTACAAAGGAACGCACTTCCTTGAATGGGGCAGGACAAGAAACTACAGTCGTTGATGATACATTAGAAGAAAACTCTCCTCTAAATGAGCCATTAAACAAAACTACAGTCACTGATGAAGCCACAGAAAAACACACTTCTATAAACGAGGCTGCAAAAAAAGCTGCAGTTATTGATGAAAGCCCAGAGGAACGCACTTCTTTGAATGGGGCCGGACAAGAAACTACAGTCATTGATGAATCTACAAGGGAAGGCACTTCTTTGAATGGGATTGCACAAGAATATACAGTCATTGATGAAGTCACAAAGGAACACGCTTCTTTGAATGAGTCAGCACAAGAAATTACAGTCATTGATGAAGTCACAAAGGAACGTGCTTCTTTGAATGGGACAGCACAAGAAACTACAGTCATTGATGAAACCAAGACGGCCCAATCTTCCCTAAGCCCGGAGAAGCCAAAATATTCCGTTTTTGATGACGAAGCGGTGAAACTCGTGGTTGAGGAGCCTACAAGGAAGAAGCTATTCTACAGACGAGTTATAGAGTTACAAAGAAGTGAAACATCTCTTGCACCTTCAGAAAGCGGTGAAAAACATTCACCAGAAATTCGACATGTTGTTGTTGATGTTCCCCCAGATGGAGGCTATGGCTGGGTGATAGTGGCGGCCGTGTGCTTCATTTTGGTAAGTCAAAAGGTTTTGTGAGTTAATGAGTTAATTCTACATTGTTAGGGACCGCCTTTAAATATAATAATTTTATCGATAGTTAGGATTGTCATTGTGTTTTTGAGTGAACTATGAAGTCACCATATCGTGTAGACCAGCTATGTACCTCGTCATTGTTATGTGATCCACCACAGAGCGGGGCTCCAAATTTAGGACATTCATACGAGTTGAAAGTGAAAGGCTAGAAAGACACACGGTTTATAGTTTTGATATTTGTTTTCTTGTATTTATCGTTCTTTTATTATTATAGTTCTTAATTTATCAGTTTTTATTCATCCTTTTATTCGCGATCATTGGCCAAGTGTTCGGGGTCAGGGAATGCTTATTTATTGATTAGTCCCCAACAACATGGCGGTGTATAGTGTGGTGATGGGGAGTGAGTGGATGGGTAGTGATTGATACTGCCTTGCAATTGAGAGGGTATGAAAAACAGTTCGCTGAAAAATAAGATTCTACTTAAGTCAACAAAATAAAAAATTCCCTAACAATCATGCTGCCATTGATCTCTTCTTGGGCATAGAAATGCATTCAGGAGGAATGTTACCCTGCATATTGATTCAGCAACAGGTGTGCTAAAGGGGGATGTTTTTACGTTTTTTATGATTTTGTATATCAAGTCTCAATCTTGTTAGTGACTGCCTATTGAAGTATTTTTTCCTCGCAGGTGATCATACCTTCAGTGAACTCATGCTACGGATTCGTGTACGCGAAGGTGATGCAGGAGAGCAATTTCACCAACACGCAACTCGTGGGGGTAGCCACCGTCGCCTACGCTCTCAAGCATCTACTGTGTTAGTTATGTTCATTAAGAATACTATAACCTGGGCAGCGTGATAATGCAATAAATTTCATGCAACCTAATGTACGAAAAATTAAACTTTAGCAGGTTAACCCGACGTTAATAGGTCGGGAAGTTATAATAGCAAGCATATATAATATGTTGTCTGGCAATATAACCCGGAGTCATAATTTAGTTCAGTGTTACTTGGCAAGGAAATTTTTTCTTTTGCCACGCCACAGTTAAAATTCATTGTAGAATAGACGGCATGAGCTACAGCAGTTGTAGATCTATCTTCATATGCATATATTTTTATATTTGTATAGATATTTCTTTCCTCCTACGTCTATATTTGTAATAGATACTATCATATCTACGGCAACAAAGAAGTTTACAAGCAAGTAATATGACGAATAAAATTCTGATTTAATGTATAGAATCGACCGAATCGTAAGATTTACTCACAATTGGACAACTACAATAAAAATATTGCTTAGAGATATTTTTATGACAGCTATATACGAGGCATGTTTTTTAAGTAAGGATCGTTTTGGAATTAAAAAGTGACGTGCAAAGATATCGCAATAATTTTATTTTTACAAGAAAGCCTGTACTTCAGTTTACTTTTGCACATAATTTCCGTGAATATTGAAAAAAAATTAAGGCACTTGTCATAACGTGGCACCAGTTTTTGAATACCCTCCTGATAAAATTCTGCCGCCTGACTTGGAGGTGAAATTCTGCTGAAATTCTGAATTATGCTGAAATTGAGGTGAAATTTTGCTGAAAAATGCCTGAAATTTCTTCTTCCTGACGAGTCAGGCGGCAGAATTTCAGGCGTTTTTCAGAAGAATTTCACCTCCATTTCAGCAGAATTCACAATTTCACCAAGTTTTATCAGGAGGGAATTCAAAAACTGGTGCCACGTTATGACAAGTGCCTCAATATTCACGGAAATTATGTAGAAAAGTAGATTAAGGTACAGGCTTTCATGTAAAAATAAAATTATTGCGATATATTTGCACGTATTTTTTTTAATTCCTAAACAGTCCTTACATAAAAAAATAGGCATCGTAGTTTTCTGTAGAGTTTTCTCGTAATCATTTTCAGTTTTAGGTATAGTTTTTATTGATGTTACGATGATAATAAATGCATTATTTTACTTTACCCTTAGCCCCGGCGTCTAGCAGACTGAGTGAAGTATGGGGTTCGAGAGCCGTGACTGTGGCAGGCCTGGTGATGTCCAGCGCGGCGCTACTGATCGCGAGCCAGGCAGCCTTATTATTAATTAAAGACTGAAGCTTCAAGGAAACTCGCACTATCCAATTTATCTGGCAATACTCAGAGTGATATTTTAGTTCAGTGTTACTTGACAAGGAAGTTTTATCTTTTGCTACGCCACAGCTAAAATTCATGGTAGAATAGACGGCATAAGCTCCTGTAGATAAAGATATTTATCTGCAGGTAATATTTTTAGTGCATTGTTTGTATTATATAGATAATAATTGTATAATTGAATACATAGATCTATTCTCATATGTCTATATTTGTATACTTGTATAGATAGATATATTCCCTTAAGTTTATATTTGTAATAGTTAAGATTATAACTATTGTAATAAAGATGCTTACAAGCAAATAATATGACGAATAAAATTCTGATTTATGGTATAGAAACAAGCGAATTGTAAGATGTACTCGGAATTCTACAACTAAAACAAAAATATTACTTAGAGCTATTTTTAAGACAGCTATATAGTTTTCCGTAGAGTTTTCTCATAATCATTTGCAGTCTTAGGTATAGTTTTTATTGATGTTACGATGATAATAAATGCATGCTTTTTTAAACGTAGCCCCGGCGTCTAGCAGACTGAGTGATTTTGACAGCTATATCATTTTCTGTGCAGTTTTTTCATAATCATTTGCAGTCTTAGTTATAGTTTTAATTGATGTTACGATGATAATAAATGCATGATTTTTTTTACCCTTAGCCCCAGCGTCTAGCAGACTGAGTGAAGTATGGGGTTCGAGAGCCGTGACCGTGGCAGGCCCTGTCTCT